ATCCTGAGTGTATGGTGACTGAGGTATCCTATGATGTCCTAGTTTTTATTCATGTTATAACTCGAGTTGTGAGATGGGGAGTGGAGTACCGAGTGATTTTGTTACAGTGGGAACCCATCAGTTAATTGTTGCCGGAGTGAGACTGTCTAAGGGTGTATCTGTGTTGTGACAAGTGCCTTGCCTACGAGAACTTACATCAGAGTGGTGGTGCATAAGCTGGGTGGGTGTAAGCACCTATCTATGTTGAGTTGCAGAGCATGAGTTGGTGAACTCAATGTAGTGATGACTTGATGAAGAGATTATGGGGTGATAAGAGAGCAAGTGGATTCGACTGGGAGTAATCACTTGGGATTATCAGGAGAAACCGTGGAGTGAGCCCATGGTGAGTCAGTGAGCGAGAGAGTGTTGTAAGACTATGGAGAGCCGTAGCATCCATGAGTCAGTGGGAGAGAGTGTCGTGATACTATGGGGAGTCGTAGTATTCAGTGGATAGTGGGAGAGTGTTGTGATACTGCGGGGAGCCATGGTATTCACTAGTCAGCTAGAGAGTGTCGTGATACTGCGGAGAGCCGTAGTATTAACTGGTTAGAGAGAGAGTGTTGTGATACTGCGGGGAACCGTAGCATTCATGAGTCAGTGAGAGAGTGTCGCAAGTCTGCAGGGAGCCATAGCATTCATGAGTCAGTAAAGGAGCATCTTAAGACTACGGGGGAGACCGTAGTGCTTAGTAGTCGATAAGGGTGAATATTGTTCATCAGAGAGCTGTTGTATTCATTATTCAGAGTATGACGCAGAGGAGTTCTTAGGCTTGGGTAGCCTTACCACTTGAGTCTTCGGGAGCCTGGTTGCCGAACCAGAGGCGAGACGGGGGTGTCCGTGTCGGTTGGGAATCGGTGTATCCCTGGAATGAGGAGGGATTATCGTAATAAGAATGAATTATAGAGATTGTGTGTGCATAAATCCACGAATTTTAGGTCATGAGTTTAGTAACAGATTGGAAATGAGTGGCTCCAATTCTGCTGTTGAATCAAACTCTCGAGCTTGAGTCTGGATCCTTTCGTGTATTGAGTAGGCGGGATGAGGTTTCGGATTCGTGGATGGGTTTCATTGTGAGGGGGGTATTGATCTCCATCTGATATCTTAGACCAGAGTGGGTCAGTTTTCTTTGGTATGATTAGAATCGCGAGACGCATGTAACCAGTAGGTGGTAGACGGCAGTGGGTCGGATGTGGGACGATTTCAGATGGGGTTGTAGTATTCGCTTAGGGTAAAGCAAACTTCGCGACTTGTGTGTCACAATGAGCCGAGATAGTTATTGAGAAGTGAAAGTCGGTAAGTCGTTTTATTGGGCGTGCAGTGGGTAACCTTTTGAAGTTCAACTATTGGGTCGGAGTCGACCTGATACTCAGTGTTGGAAGGGACAACTGAGAGAAGTTGGGGCTTATGAATAAGAGTGTCAGAGGATCGTTTCGAGCTGTCTTGACCATTTTCTTGTGCTTGAGGACAGAGTTTTGAGGATCATTTCCTTCAGAAGAGTTCTGATAGCTGCTCAGGCGGCGGGTCCTTAGTGAGTTATGACATTTCCGTTCCTTTTGAGTTCGACTGGGATCGATTAGAGAATCAGAGTTGGTAGAGTGTTCTTAGAGTCTGTTTTTCGATAAGCGTTTAGCATGATGATATTTTTGCGAGGGTGGTCTGGCAGGGAGACAGACCACTACAGCTTTCAAGTTCTATCGCTGCGGCAAAAGGGTTTGTCCTTCTTCGGGGTCGGGAGTTCCTGTTGGGTTCAGGTGTTTTTGGAGGAGATTGTTGAATGATATGGGGTCCTTTCGGTGGTGCTTCTTGGGTTTTGGGTTCGATATTTGTGTTGATAAGGAGCGATTTCGAGGGCGAAATCTAATTCAAGTGGGGGAGAATTGTAACATCCTGTTTCGGGTCGTCTGTGGTTAGGGTTCGTGGGCTGCAACCCGGGCATGTGGAAGTCTCAGGGTTGGGACGAGTTGCTAGAAGCGTAGGGCATCTCATCACCTTTCCATGGGTATGAGGTTCTTTGGAAATGTAGTCATATCGAGGAAGCATTGGAAGTTTGAAGTGTTGGCAGGATAAGTCCCTTAATTGAGAAATGTGGCAGCTGAGTACGCTGGGCGTACGTGTGTATACGCTTAGCGTACTCATGAGCGTGGTTTTTAAGCAGAACTACCTAGTACGTTGGGCGTACCAGTGGGTACGCTGGGCGTACTAGGCACAGAGTGAAAACCCTAATTTTGGGTGTGTCCCTATATAAAGAATGAGATGGCCTCATTCTTGGCCACCATCCTTAGATTTCAAATCCTCCTAAACCCTAAACCTTTGTTCATGGAGTTTGTGGATGCATTTGAGAGCCTTTGAGTGTTTTATGTGTTCTTGGAGTGAAGAAGACGCTTTGGAGAAGAAGGAGTGAGAGTCCAAGCCCTTGGATCTGAGCATATCTATGTTGGAAGCTTCATATAGAGGTATCAAGCTTCAAGCTTTCTCACTCTTTTGATTTGTGCATCATAGTGGAGTATTTTAGGGTTTTTGTCCCAAAGTTGGAGACTTTATGAGTTATTGAGCTCAGAAACTATGACCAACCGCTTTGAGTGTATATAGTGGTGTTGTGTCATAAAAATCATGTCTTGGATGTTGAGATTGAGCCATGCATGAGTTATGAGCATTTTGAGCTAAGAAAGTGAGAGTTTTGTGTGTTTGTGACCTTATCAGCCATGCAAAAGGCTTAAAGTCGCTGACTTTATTGAGTAAGAGCCATTAAGGAGTCCAGATCTGGGATTTGAGTTAATGTCTTAACGGGTTAAGACCAAAGGAGTAGGAAAAGCAATCCTGGTCGTACGCTGAGCGTAATTCCTGTACGCCATGCGTACTGACCAGATGTCCCCGAAGGCTAATCCGGATTCGTGAGTACACTGAGTGTACCAAAAGAGGTACGCCCCGCATAACCTCACTGTGGACTTTTGGGCTAAGTCTCATTTTTGGGCCTTGAGTGTTGGGCCTGGAGTTTGGGCTTGTTGCAATAGAGTTTTGGACCAGAAGAATACCTATTTGTGCTTTGGGCCCTTGTGTTGGGCTTGCCATTTAGTTTTGAGAGTTGGGCCTCGGGTGAGCCCATTTATTATTGGGCATTTGGTGGGCCCAATGGGTTTTAGGTTATTGATGGAATGGTTAGTGGTCTACCTTTAGACCTAATGAGTGAGTGTTTGGACTTAGTTCCTAATTAGGTTAATTGTGGATTTGGCTCAGAGTTAGAGGCCGGTGCATAGCAGCATCGTTTATAGGGGGTGTTCATCATCCGAGGTGAGTCTTCTCACTATACTTACCATGAGTGGTATCCTTGTGTGACTGAGCTGTCTTATGTGCTTATCCGTGTATTGTGATATTTTGCATTATGTCTTTGTGATTTATTATTATTATTATTATTATTATTATTATTATTATTATTATTATGAGCTTATTGAGTTGGAACCGGAGGGTCCACCCGAGTTTTGGGACCGGAGAGTCCCACTGAGACACATCAATCGGAGTGTCTTATATGAGTATAGCCATGAGAGGCTATTGAGATATGTGTGATACTTTGGGGAACTCACTAAGCTTCGTACTTACCGTGTTAATGAACTAGAAAGGTAACGAACTTTCATCTTTGTTCACATTAAGGTAACCTTGTTTTTTTCATACATATTTGATCATTGAACTTGTTTGACTTGTTCAAAATAAGGTAATATGACCGGTAATTAGCGGTAACATTACCCTATTATGAATAGATCAAACAAGTTTAATGGTCAAATATGTACAAAAAAAATATGGTTACCTAAATATGGACAAAAACCAAAGTTCCTTACCCATTTTGGTAATATTAGGTTATTTACGTTAAATGCAAGTAGTCATAAGATCCAATGAGACATGAGATTAGGTTGTCCGGTGTTTGTGTATGAGGATATGGTCAAGTCTTGGGCCAACCAGTTTAGGTCCAGTTAGTTAGGGGTTAGGTTGTATACACTTAAGGGGATAGGTTGTATGTGCTTTAAAGACCTAACAACACAGCCTAGCCCATAACTAGTCGGGACTGAACTGGGTTAAACCAAGCCTAACCTAATTGTTCATTGATTGTCAGAGCCTGATCCCAGGGCATAGTCCCTAATACGGTTCTTGTCCAATATTACCAAAACAGGTAAGAAACTTTGTTTTTTTTTCCAATATTTAGATAACCATGTTTTTTTTCGTACACATTTGATCAATAAACTTATTTCACATGTTCATAATAGGGTAAATATTACCGTAATTACAAGTCATATTACCCTATTTTGAACAGGCCAAACAAGTTCAATGGTTAAATGTGAACGAAAAAAACACTAAGTATCTAAATGTGAACAAAAATTAAAGTTGGTTTTCTAGGTCATTAACCCAAGCCAAAACTTATCACCCAGTCTCTACATTCCACGTAGCAAGTCTTTGGAATATGCGATACCCTACTCTCATAGATGCTGATTAGCAAGCAGTGTGCAGACTCTAGAGGAATACGATCCCCGTGTGGCCCTAGTTGGAAAGCCACCTCCACAGTATTATTCACGGGACAAAAATGGCGGTTTTGCTCTTCTTCTTCATCTTCTCCTCTCATTAACTCTCATTTACCCTCAACTTTCTCTTTCAATCATCACCCTTTTCTTCACCAATTCATACGCAAACTTCGCGTAACACAGCGCACAGATTCGGATTGAAATTTACTCTTCTTATCAACGTAAGTGGCCACAAACGTTTTGAAATTAGATTTCATTGATTTTGGAAGAATCGATCACTTTCCTACTCCATTCTCTTTGGTTGTTGGTTGATTTCAGTTTTGCTTGGTAAATCTTGGGTTTTTAGCTTACCCTTTCTGTTTGTTTGATTAAATTTATTGCATCGGTAATCGCTTGATTTGGGGATGAGAAATAGAAATTCACACGTCTTACTTTCTGTGTGAATGATATACACGGATGTGTTGTAGTCGCGTTAGGGTTTTGGAGGAATCAACACTGGAAATCGAGGAGACACAAGTCGAAATGGACAGCCCTACTGCAGTAACTACCCCTCCAGATTCAGTTCCTACTTCGAATGACGATCAACCTCGGTTAAAGTTTTTGTGTAGCTTTAATGGCAGCATATTGCCTCGTCCACAAGATGGGAAACTTAGATACGTTGGTGGAGAGACACGGATTGTGAGTGTTCCACGAGATATCAATTTTGAAGAACTGATGGGGAAGATGAAGGAGTTGTTTGATGGAGCTAGTGTATTGAAATATCAGCAACCAGATGAGGATCTCGATGCCCTTGTTTCCGTTGTGAATGATGATGATGTCACAAATATGATGGAAGACTATGAAAAGTTAGGTTCAGGAGATGGATTCACTCGCCTTCGAATCTTCTTGTTCTCAAGCATCGAACAAGATGACTCAATACATTTTGTTGAGAGAGATGAAAGGGACAATGAAAGAAGATATGTTGATGCTTTAAACAGTCATAATGACTTCCCTGAAGTTCAAGGAATGACTCCAGTGGATGATGTTCAGTTGATAGATCAGTACTACAATCAGTTGAATATAGACAATAATCTTCAAAACCAGAGGAATTTTGAGATGCCAATGATGGGAGTTAACTTGCGCCATGTAAACATCCCTCATCAACACTCTCCAACTCAAAAGTATCCTGACATGGAGTCACCATGGAGTCCTGCATACTATTCTCCAAGACATGAATTCCCGAATTCGCCCTCCTCTTCACGTTACCATTCTCCTTATACTGATCAAGTTGATAGAGTTCCTCAAGAAGATTATTTCAGGCAACAACAACATTTCAATCATCAACCTCAGTATGATCAACAGTCTCCATTACCACAGAATCCTGTATGGATGCCTCCAACAAACGGTTTTCCTGGTAATATTCTTCCAATAAATGAAGCTATGGATTTACCTAACATAGGGAATGGTTTTCCTCATGTTGCTGAAGGTGGAATTTGGCATGGAAATTATCCAAATGCTTATGGGAATGAGAATCTTTATCATCCATCATCACATGGGCATGTGCCTCCTAATGCTTTCTGGAGAAATGGTCAAACTCCTTCTCATGGACATGGACATGGGATTCCTCCTTATGATACATCACAAGAAAATGGTGCATGTAACATAGGATATATAAGGACTAATAGGGAATCTAGTCCTAGGATTCCAGTTGGGATTGAGAATCAGAATCTTTGGGTTGATTCATCTCCTAAAGTCACACCCATTAATGGTGGTGTTAGTTTTACTGATCATTCTTATGGGCATCGTATACAAACTGAACAAGTTCCATTTCTGCCTACACCTGTTCAGTTTATCCCTGAACCCGTCCAACTCAGTCATGACCCGGTTCAGATCATTCCTGACCCGGTTCATTTTACTCCTGAAATTGTCCAATTTACTCCTGAAATAGTGAGTAACTTAAAGGAAAAAGATGGTTTTGGAGGAGAAAACTTGAATTTACCTAGCAATCAAGTTAATGTAGATGAAAGCTCTCATAAAGACAAGTCTCCTCTTAAAAATGAAGAACATGAGGTCTATGATTTGAGTAATGCACCTCAAAATATTGAATCTGTAAACAAATCTCAGTTAGAAGGTGCTAAAGAGGTGGAAACTGAAGCTCAAGATGATGTGAAGGATGCTAAAGTTTGTTTTTTTATAGGTGATGTGGTGAGTAAAGATCAAAGATCACTAGTTATAACTTTTAAGCTTCAAGTATTAATCACTTCTCATCTTTGATCTATTTATTTGTTTTTTTTTAATAGGACACAAACACAAACACAAACACAAACACACAGGTGGATTTAGATAGGGATTCTGGAAGTGACAACCAAAGCAATTCAAAGATTGAAGAAACAAAGGCTGAAGAGGAAGCTAAGTCTAGGGGTTTACAGGTTCTTTCTTTTCTACATATATTGTGTTTTCTTTTTGGATTTACTTGAATTTGGTATATGCATTTGACATTTTGTTTGTGTTTATATTCTTTATTAGACAATAAAGAATGATGATCTTGAGGAAATACGGGAGTTAGGATCAGGTACATATGGAGCTGTTTATCATGGAAAATGGAAGGGGTCAGATGTAGCAATCAAAAGAATAAAAGCAAGTTGTTTTGCTGGAAGGCCTTCTGAAAGAGAACGTTTGGTATAATTACACTAATACCCTTTCCTTAAGTCATACTACTAAATTTTCTTCCTAATTAGTCAATGTTTCTACCAAAGTTTGAAACTTTGTGTTATTTTGTTGTTAGTCCATTGTGATGACTTTTAGATTGTTGATTATTATGTAAGTGTCGAAAATACCCTTAAACATTTAATCAAACAAATCTTGTGAGCAGTAATTGATTATAGATTACTCTTAAGTAAAAAGGTTTTCTTGAGAATGGTTTTACTTTTGTATTGTTATACAGGGACTCAATCTGCTCTTTTAGATCCTCATTTTTGATTAATATTAAATTTATTTATATATTATATATACACAGATTGCAGATTTTTGGAAGGAGGCGTTGATTTTAAGCTCATTGCATCACCCAAATGTGGTGTCTTTTTATGGAATAGTTCGTGATGGGCCAGATGGATCTTTGGCAACTGTAACAGAGTTCATGGTTAATGGATCTCTCAAACAATTCTTACAGAAAAAAGACAGGTGGATTTTCCATTTTTTCTCAAGGGTATTTTGGACATTTCACTAACGGTTTAAAGTGACAGAACTATTGATCGGCGTAAGAGACTTATCATAGCCATGGATGCTTCTTTTGGAATGGAATATTTGCATGGAAAAAATATCGTTCATTTTGATCTTAAATGTGAAAACCTTCTTGTCAATATGAGAGATCCACATAGACCAATTTGCAAGGTATTGAATTATTTCAATTCATTTTTATAATAATAATAATAATAATAATAATAATTATTATTATTATTATTATTATTATTATTATTTTGTTTTTTTAGATAGGAGATCTTGGCCTATCAAAAGTAAAACAACACACTTTGGTGTCTGGAGGCGTTCGAGGAACATTGCCTTGGATGGCACCCGAACTTCTTAGTGGCAAAAATCACATGGTATCCGAAAAGGTATGTTGCCAAGTGTGAAATTACTAAAATACCCCTATTCCATTACGACCATTTATAGATACGTGATTGTGTTTGTTGTTTTTGTAGATTGATGTTTACTCATTTGGGATTGTCATGTGGGAATTGCTCACGGGAGATGAACCTTATGGAGATTTGCATTGTGCTTCCATAATTGGTAAACTCAAGAAATAGCAACCTACTTTCATTTCTTTACAAAAATACAAACCTCAACTTATTGAAAATAAAAAAAAGGGTTAATCTCATAAAAGACTTATATTTTGTGTTTCTTCCGGATTAAACCTCACTTTATTTTTTTTCATGAAAAGACCTTGCACTTTTACATTTTTTACAATCTGACCCTTTTAGTCATTTTTCTCTAAAAAAGTTGTAAAATGTGAGGGTTTTTTCAGGAAAATGGTTAAATATAAAAAAAAAAAAAAAAACCTTATATTTTGTGTTTTTTCTGGATTAAACCTCAAAAAAAAAGTTGCCTGAAAAAAACCTTATTTTTTTCCGGAAAAACCATCAAATTTGTATTTTTTTTCTGAAAAAAACCCTCAACCTTCAAAATGCTTCCAAATAAAACCTCAAATTTTGTAGTTTTTCTCAAAAAAACCCTCACATTTTACAATTTTTTTTATAAAAAAGGGCCACTTCGGGAAAAATGAAAAACTATAAGGTTTTTTTCAGGCAAATTTTTTTTTTTTTTGTAAATTAACCCTCAGGAAAAACTAAAAAAGTTGAGGATTTATTTGGAAACATGTAGAAGGTTGAGGGTTTTTTTTTTTGAAAAAATAAGACAAAGGTGAAGGTTTTTCCGGAACAAATAACAAAATATAAGGTCTTTTTCGTGAAAAAAATAAAATGAGGTTTAATCCGAAAAAAACACAAAATATAAGGTCTTTTATGAGATTAACCTTAAATTTTTTTTTTTTCAAAAGTACAATGCTATAATTTGAAAATGACATTTTATAATATAGGAGGAATTGTGAACAATTCATTACGTCCAACAATCCCAACATGGTGTGACCCCGAATGGAAGGCATTAATGGCAACTTGTTGGTCTTCTGATCCAACCGAAAGGCCTTCTTTTTCACAAATTTCACACAAGTTAAGAACAATGGCTGCAGCTATCAATGTTAAATGATACAAAAAGGACCCATCAACTACCAAAATATGTCAAATTCGCCCCCTGGACTTGGGAGTGTTTGGCAGCCCTTTTTGGACATGGGGGCGGGGCTCTCTTTTGTACATAATATAACTCGCGAGTCGCTAGTATTATTGTCGTTTGTTTTAGTAGACAATAATATATTTAGCATGTAAAAGTAAAACATAGAAGATCATTTTTTTGATCTTATGAATCCCGATGTAGACAACGTTTTATATGGCGAAAATTTGTATTTTAATTTGGTTTAGGAAATATTGTTTTGTTTTTTGCTGTTAGGGTATTGGATTTTGAATAGCTGTCTAGTTATGATATTATAGCGATGGTATTTAGGTGGGTTTTGAAGAATAAGAAAAAAAAATGATGGGGGAATGTGCTTAAGTTGAGTCATTTTTTTGACGTATAATGACTTTATAAGAAGAAAAGTGGAAGTAAATTTAACTTTAAAAGTCATAAACTTCTTTATTAGTTTAAGGGAAATCTCCAGAAAAGTCTTAAAATTTACCCTAATTTACGAAAAAGTTCCAAACTAAATTTTGTTTACGAAAAAGCATTAATTACCGGTAAAAATGGCGATTTGACATTTTTTTTTTCCGGTTACCGGTTTCATTACTTACCTATTTTATTAAAGTCCCATTATTTTATCATAATTTACGAATAAGTCCTAAACTAAAATTTAGTGATGATTTGACAATTTTCTCTGTGTAACATACATTTTACTGGTTTCATTGTTGACTCGGACGCCTAGTCATTAAATGAGATGATGAGATGGATATGTTGAGTTATATAATGCTATGTTTAGCATAAAACTAGATATCCTAATGTATTGTATATTCTTTTGGAACATAAAATGCATCCAACAAAGACTGCAATAATTACATAAACTAACAATAACTGCGTTATTTTTTACGTTTATAAGAAATATCAAATTGTCTATCTAATCTTATGTAACCCAATATATCCATTTCATGAGACATCAACTTATTTTCTGCCATTTTTTCCTGGATACACACATTTTATTGGTTTCATTGCTGACCTAGATACAAAGTCATAAATGAGCCGATGAGATGAATATCAAATTTTACAGTAAATGTAGCATTATATAACCCATCGTATTCATCTTATCAGCTAATTTATTGAGTAGGTGTCTAAGTCAGCAATGAAACCGATAAAATGTATGTTACATGACCAAAATGGTCAAATCATCACAAAATTTTAGTTTGAGACTTATTCGCAAATTAGGGTAAAATAATGGGACTTTAGTGAAACTGGTAAGTAACAGTAAACCGGAAAAAGGGGTCAAACATCATTTTTAACGGTAATTCATGCTTTTTCGTAAACAAATTTTAGTTTGGAACTTTTTCGTAAATTAGGGTAAAATTTTAGGACTTTTCTGGAGATTTCCCTTAATTTAACTTTAATGTTAACTTTTTAGTGCTGAACCTATACCGTTAATCTAAGAGGGTGTTTGAGATTACTTTTGGGTAAATTACACAAATGGTCCATATGGTTTGGGGGAATTTGTACGTTTAGTCCCTATGTATGATTTTTAACTCGTATATTATATAATTTTGTTGCGCATTTGGTCCTTGCCAGACCTAAAAAGACTATATTGCCCTTGATGATATTCTTTAATCTTTTTAAACTCTTATTTTAATTTCTATATGGAATAAATTATTAAACAAACACACTCTACTGACTCTACCTCTCCCCTTTATCCCTCCCTAACCCCTGTATTCCCCTGCATCTCCTCATCGACTCGTCAGCGCAGCGGCAGGGTGGATAACGATTGCTGGATCCGTCTTCTTTTGGTGGTGTACTGGTGTTCTTTTGGGCGGAAAGAGATAGAGAGATGGGAAGAGAGAGATACGTAAGACAGTGAGAGTCTGAGAGGTTTGAGCAACATCAGGAGGGCAAGAGAAGGGGAGTTTGGCATATCGTCGGTGATTGGTGGAGGTTTATAAGTGACAACTGGTTTTTACTGTTTAGACAAGAGAATGGATGGGAGACAGGGGAAGTGATGGATCTAGGAAGAAGGGAACGGGCAACCAAAAAGCACATCTCAGAACTCGACTTCGATTGTTGGTCCAGTTCTCAAAACACAATTAAACACCACTACTACTTCTAACAGAGATCTTAGTTTAGTTTTGACAGGCAGTGGGAGTATGGCTGGAGAAGAAGGTATCTCGGATAGCGGTACAGATGTGAACGAGAGAGACAAGAATGACGTTCTTAGTTTTGGACTTTTTTTATTAAATAATATTAAAATAAATAATAAAAAAAAGAAATTAAGAAAGGGTATTTCAGTCATATTAGGTCTGGCAAGGATTAAACACGCAATAAAATTATATACTAGGGACCCTCCGAGTTAAAATCATGCCCATGGACTAAACGTGTAGATTCCCCCAAACCACAGGGACCATTCGTGTAATTTACCCATTACTTTTTAACCTCAAAAGTCATTTTTTGTAAAATGACTTTTTGCATAAAGAGTTTCTTAAATGTGTTTGGATTAGCTTTTGATGGGCGAAAACCAAAATTTGTTTTTAAAAAGTGTTTGGCTTAACTTTTACGTGTAAAATGACTAAAAAGGACATGCTTAAAAAGTGTTTGGGTAGTTGTAATGGGTATAAATGTAATTTACTTGGTAAGATGTTAAAAAGTTACAAAAATATCCGATTTCATGACTTTTGAAAAAGCTGCTTTTTGTTCATGGCAAAAAGTTGTTTTAAAAAGAACATTTGTAACGCTTAGTTCCGGTATGAATTTATTTCCTTAAATTGTGATTTTTCCTGTTGAACTCGGCGAGTTGAAGGCTTCAACTCGACGTGTTGAGTGGATTTTGGCCGCGAGAATTAATTGACCAACTCGACGAGTTGGGGTGCCTCAACTCCACGATTTGGCGGCTGGGAAGGAAACCCTAATTTTTAGGGTGTTGCACCTTATTTAAAGGCCTTAAGTCTCTTGGCTGGCCTCCTTACCAACCTCCTCTGTCCAGAAAACCCTAAAAGAGTGTATCATCGTCCTTGAGAGTGTGTGAGCTTGTGGAGGGCCTTAAGAGTTGATATTTTGCACACTTTTGGAGGATCCTTGAAGTTGAAAGTACATAGCTTGGAGAGAAGACCTAGATCCAGCATCTCCCCACCCATTTCAGTCATTTGGAGGTATAAAGTTTATACCTTGCTTTGTTATTGTTTTGGATCTATTGTTTTGGGGTTTTACCTTGATTTTGGGCTCATGGTTAAGTTGTCGAAGAAGTTGAGTTTTCCAGTGGTTGTCATGTTAGATCTAGCCATGTTATGGCCTCATTTGGCTTAAAGTTGCAAACTTTACTAGATCTTAGGTCCCATTTATGCATTAAGTCCTTTATTAAACCCATTTTGAGTCCTAGGGTTCCTTTTAGCATGCATGGATGTAAAGTTGGAAACTTTACGCGATTTCTCAACCTTAGGGGACCAGATCTGCATATTGGGGCTTTGTTTTGAGAGTTTAAGGGCTTAATGGGTCAAGCATCACTCCAATGAGTCTAGGGTTTGGGTTTGACTCACCTTGGATGGTTCCTAAGGGTAAAGTTGGAAACTTTACCCTTCTAGACATCATTTCGAAGGAGATCCAAGAATTGAAGCTCCTAGATTCAATGGAAACAGCTTAATGCATTAAGCTGTTGGATTCCTGGCTAACTCGGCGAGTTCATTAGGTGAGTTTGGCGAGTTGATGCAAGTTTTCCCGATTTGTGCAGTTAATAGAGAAACTCGACGGGTTGAAGGACAACTCGGCGAGTTGGGTCAACTCGGACCGTTGACTTTCACCTTTGAGTTTAGTCTTTGACCAAGTTTGACTTTTAAGGGGTTTTAGGGCATTTTGAGTTGTATTTAAGGAATTGTTTCTGTTTAGGGGAAGTGTAGAGCTGATATTCGGAGCCGGGACATAGTCAGTTATCGTTCAATATTTGAGGTGAGTCTTCTCACCACACTGATGGGTCGAAGGCACCAAGGCCAGCCCATTATTGATTATGAAATGATTCTTATGGGAATATGTAATTGCTTGTTATTGGATTTATATGTGGACTTATGTGCAGACCATGGGAGGAGCCCATGACATTTTTTGCAAGACCATGGGAGGAGCCCATGGGGGTAGCCCATGTCATTCCAATGAAGACCATGGAGGGAGTCCATGGCAAACTTATATGTATATATGTGTGCATGGTATTATGTGATTATATGATTCGTGTGTTTTGGGAAACTCACTAAGCTTGTGCTTACAGTTTTATTGAATGTTTCAGGCACTTCTATTGATAAGGGCAAGGGCCAGGCTTGATGGCGCGACGTGCATTCTCCAGTGTTTTCACATTTAGTTTTCGTATTCTGAATTTTAAAATAATATGGCTATGTAATCGGATTTTTGTATTCCATATGGTTGATGTTTATCAAATTAAAAGTTAAAATTTTTTTGAAAAATTTGGGTTGTTACAAGTTGGTATCAGAGCCTTGGTTTGAGGGATTCAGGCACACTTCTGGGTGTGTCAGAACTCAAACTGAGGAAATGGTAACAAGTTACTTTTCAAAAAGAAACCAAAGTTAAATTTCCTGAAAATGATTTTGTAAGAAAAAGGGGAGAATGCAATGCGCGTAATCAGTCGAGCTCAAGTAAGTGTTCCCAATGTTTTAGCCATGCTATAGTATATATGGAAATTAATGTTGTATGGATTATTTGCTTAGTGTATGCTTTCAAAGTTATACATGTTTAGGATTGCATAACCCTAGAATGAGGAACTCTGCCTTATTCCTGTTCCTTGTTTGGTTGTGGTTTAGGGTAGAAGCTTTATTTGACAATCTATGTGATTCTCTTTGTGTATAACTTGCATGCATAGGGCAACCTGCTATGATTAATCTGAGTTTTTGGTTTGGTGAGGGTTGAGAATCCTAGAGCAGTCTAGGATCTGAGTTAGTGTTGTGTTTATGAGTCATGATTTGTGATTGGATGATTTAGGGATATCAGGTATGGCCTTGGGGAAGGTACAGGTAGGCGTGGAAGGTAGTATTGGGCCCGTACAACTGAAAGCACAAGACCTGTACCCGAATCAATGACACACCTGATAGTTCTTAGAAGTCCGGTGAGGAGGAATCTCTTTCGAATTCCTTATCTTGGTTATTTGTGATATTTTCAGTTGAGGATGGTGATGATCACATGACGTTCAGGTTCAGGATCAGGATCAGGTTCAGGCTCAGGTGCAGAGCCCATCGACGAAAGGCTACACAATCTTATCGCAGCCGAAGTTACTCGTGGCATCCTTGACGCTACCCCGGTGATTTTCGGTACCGTCAAGGAGGGCATCATGGAGATCATGGAGGAGCGGCTCAGGTCTTTCCGAGCTGAGATTGCTGCAGGCCAGATTGGGGCCCGAGCTCCCTCGTTTAGGGAGTTTAAAGCGTGTGGAGCGCCTGAGTTTTTTGGGGTCAGGGATCCCATCACTAGTCGACGCTGGGTGACAGACTTGGAGAATGCCCAGCGCACGAGCTCTTGCCCCGAGGCGGCAAATGTGGGGTTTGCATCTTGTATGTTGAGGGATCGAGCACGAGATTGGTGGGAGGAGGTGACCCGCGAGGTGGGATCCGCAGGTGTGGCTGAGATGTCTTGGGAGGAGTTTGTGAGGAGGTTTGATCGGGAGTTTGCACCGCCCATCAAGGTGTAGCGTTTGGTGAGAGAGTTTTGGGATTTGCAGCAGACTACTGAGACTGGCGGAGATCACCGCCATGTTCCGGGAAAGGGCACTATTGGTCCCGCAATACGCTCTGGATGAGGAGATGAAGAAGACGAGGTATCATTTCATGCTAAGGGATGATATCCATGAGTTTGTGAGCTTTTCGAGGTGCAAGACCCTAAATGAGATGGTGGAGAAGGCCCGGGAACAGGAAATTGAGTTAGAGCTCTGCACGAAGCGGAATCCGGAGCAGGTTCAGGCAGCAGTGGGGAAGACCAAGAAGCCTAAGAACTCTGATCCTCCCAGAAGGAGCCAGCATGGCCGTGGCCGTTGTGTCAAGTGCGGTAAGCCGTACAGTGGAGCTTGCTGAGCAGCGGGTTCAACATGTTATGCGTGTGGCCAGTCGGGTCACACGAGTCGGGATTGCCCCAAGAAGGGATTTATTTGTTTCCACTGCAACCAAACCGGCCATAAAAAGGCCGATTGTCCGAGGTTGGTTAGAGGAGGAGGAGCAGTGGCGACGCCTGCGCCCGCCACGATGAGGATTACAGATGGCCGCCCGATCAAGGCGGAAGCTCCTACGGTGAAGAGCCGTGCATTTCAGCTGACTACTGAGGAGGCCCGAGTAGCACCTGACGTCGTGACTGGTATGTGATCTATTTGTGTTTCGTTTATTTTATTATGATGCTTATGTTGTTATGATTTTATATAGGGACCTTTTTGGTCAATGGTTGGCGGCTTAAATTCATTTTGATTCGGGGGCTACCCGATATTTGTATCTCTTGCACTTAGCAAGAAGTTTTGTAATGCTCCGGGGACTTTGGATTCCCCACTCGAGGTGGAGATTGTAGAAGACCGCACCGTGAGTGCTGCGAGGGTATTTCGGAGGAGTGTTCTGAATATGTTCGGGGAGAGGCTTTCTATCGATTTGGTTCCGATTTCTTTGCGAGGATTAAAGGTGATCGTCAGGATGGATTGGTTGGGGCGAAATGGGGCCATGATAGACTGCGAGCGTCAGTTAGTGAGGGTTCGAACCCCAAGTGGTGGAGAACTGGTTATTCATGGAGAGAGAGCCTTGCATGGGCCAACTATCTATTCGGCTGCGAGATTTTCCTGATGTCTTTGTAGAGGAGTTACATGGAGTGCCTCCCGAGAGGCAAGTGGAGTTCCGTATTGAATTAGTGCCTGGTGCGACTCCGATAGCTAAGGCGCCGTATCGTCTAGCTCCGCCTGAGATGCAGGAGTTGTCTACGCAGCTTCAGGAGCTGCTAGACCGGGGATTCATTTGTCCGAGCAGTTCCTCTTGGGGAGCACCGATTCTGTTCGTGAAAAAGAAGGATGGGTCCAACAAGATGTGTATTGATTATCGAGAGCTGAACAAGCTAACGGTAAAGAACCGTTATCCGCTTCCGAGGATTGACGATTTGTTCGATCAGCTTTAGGGTGCCTAGTGGTTTTCCAAGATTGATCTGCGGTTAGGGTATCATCAGATGAGGATCCGAGATGAAGACATACCGAAGACGGCGTTCATAACTCGTTATGGTTATTACGAGTTTTGTGGTGATTCCATTTGGGCTCACCAATGCTCCGGCAGCGTTCATTGATCTCATGAACCGGGTTTGCAGACCGATGTTGGATCAGTCTTTGATTGTTTTCATTGATGATATTTTGGTCTATTCCAAGACCAAGGAGCAGCACGAACATCATTTGAGATAGGTGTTGGAAACCTTGAGGAGGGAGAGGTTTTATGCCAAATTCTACAAATGCGAGTTTTGGTTGCGTGAGGTGCAGTTTTTGGGGCACATCATCAACAAAGAGGGTATTTTGGTGGATCCTGCCAAGATTGAGGCGGTAATGCGTTGGAGGCTAACATGAACACCTACTGATCATTGACAATGTGTCAAGATCTACTAAAAAGGGTGGGGAATGATTCAAAAATGGGTGTTACCGAAAAAACTTGGTCCCAAAAGATGTGAATTGGGGGACCCATTTCAAAGTTCATGAAGGACCTCAAGGCAAGGTGTGATAAACAAAATCTATCTAACTATCTACTCTAGACCCCTAGAAAAATGATGACATATCCTAAAAAGGTGGTGAGAATCTAACTAAGTAAGGCTTGAACGAGACTCGGGAGTACTAAGGGGTACTCCCCCCAAAAACAAGACGCGAGTTTTCAATGTCTTCAAAATACCTTACCGGGCTAATCTTTGCTCACACACATCGGTTTGACCAACCACATCACTCCGCACCTAGACCCAATCAAGCCACCTGGATCTGACCCCCACACAAGCGGTCTCAAAGTGGCCTGTGAGGCTCAAAGCGTGTCCTATTTATCCAATACAAGGAATTCCATATCAAGACCCGGGACCAATCTATGATTCAATACATATGACTCGGCGCTATGGTACCTGTAAGGATGAGAAGACAAGAGAGAACAAAAATGCATGAAACTTAAACTAGAATGCATCTAAAAAGTATGAAAATTAGAAAAGAAAGAAACAAATATGCAATATTTTTGAAATTTTTATGCAATTTTTATGAATGATCTAAATGACTTACTCTAAATGAAACTATATACAACCTAAATGCAATAAAAAATAAAAGATAAGAACACCTCACCCCAAGCTTAAAATTAAGCATTGTCCTCAATGCTTAGGATGAGAGTAAGGAAGGATCGTACCGGGATCAAGGTGGAGGAGGCCCGCGAGGGCGGTAACCGCCTTCGGGCTGAAAATGATGTCAAAGATCCTCCATGTAGTTGTTGGCGCGAGCTTGCTTCTCCTCGATGCGCCGAATGGCTGCTTCATTCCGGTTGCCCTGACAACGCAAGGCAGCAAGCTGACTATATATATCAAGAGGAAACTCGGGTCCCGGCTCGTTGAGTTGTTGATAGGACTGGTACTCTTGTTGTGGCTCAAAGTGTGCTCCCGAAGGCTGATCATAAGAGGGTGGTGGCAGTTGTCGGATTGGGAGGTCATAATGGTCTTCGGCCTGAAATGGACTATCCGCATTGGTGTTGTCTATCTTCATGTCATCATCATCACCTGCATCATCATCATCATAATTTAACTCTCCAGGTAAGAACCAAGTTTTGGGGTCCTTAGTGGTAAAGGATGATATGCTGGGATGAGGTAAGATGTAGATGGATTCCTTGGCATGATTGGGCCAAGAGTAATGGTTATTGCTGCTGGTAGGTAGCAACAATTCCATCCGAGTGAGAGCTACACATTCAAGGAGGTAGATAGGCGGGTCATCCACTGCCACATACTCAGACTCGGGAAATTGAAGGCCCACACCCAAACCAATTAGGGTGATGAGACCGCCAATGAAAATGTCTCCAGTGGACTTTATGCGTATGCTGTCACATTTATCCAAGAAAAAGGTGGTGAAACCGGGGCAAGACCAACCGCTGTTGGACATGCAATAAAGGAAATATAGCTCGACTGTGTTTATTTGTCCCGACTCATGACGACCAAAGATGGAAGTTGAAAGAATCCGGTAGGCGATTCTCCAACAAGGACGGATGATGTAAGGATCTTTTTGTCGACTTGGATTGAAGTTTGGAAGGCTGGTGATCTGAGTCCAAAACACTACTTTGGGAAAGCTCTTGAATTGGGTCCATTGATAACTATAGATGTCGGTGTTTTGGCTGTCGTATGTGCCCATGATAGTGTTGAGGGCGTCGTATGTGAGTCAGTGCTGCCGACCCTGGAGTCTAAATGTGAGCACCCCCGCCGTGTCATCCCGTGCATAAGTGGAAATGAACTCGAGTGTGGGTTACTTGTATGTGCGCGCGGAAAGAGCTAGGTAATCACGCCAACCCATGTTGAGGAACATTTGTTGCAAGAAATCGTCAAGGCCAAGGTTGATCATGGATTCGTGATGGTAAAATTTGGTGGCTCTGACTGCACGTTTTCGGAGGTTTGACTTGAATTGCTTGATTTGTGCACTAGTGAGGACAAGGTTTCCATCACGATCGACATGCTTGGTGGAGACTTTTTTGGATGATCGCGACGATTGAGCTTCGCGGGAAGAACCATGAGATACGTGAATGGTTTTGTTCGTACCCATTGTACATGTTAATATAACCTAGCAAAGACAAAAACTTGACCAAAATTATCCCTCACACTCGCCTCACACCAATCCAATCAATTCAAATAAATTTTTTAATATAAACCGGGCAAATAATCAAAACTTGCAATTTGACACAATTCAAGGCAAGGTAATCCAATCAATTCAAAGCAAATCAATTCTAATCAACCTAATGCATGACATAATTCTTTCCAAATTAGAAATGGAATGCAAGAAAAGTAAAAGGAATGTACCAAATTCGAGTGTCGAAACCTGAAAGAAAACCGCACCCCAAGCTTGAATTTGACCCGCAAGGTTGAGTCTTTTGAATCTCCGGTGAGAAACAAAAATTTTGAAATTTTTGTCAAAATTAGTGGCGGCGGCGGCAGACGGTGGCTGCCAGCAGAGCTAGATTTTCCGGCGAGTTGATTTTCCCAAATTAACTGTAGATCGGTGTGCACGGAAGTACTTGGTGAATAATGCCCAAAGAAATATCGAGTTTGGAGAAGAATTAGCGGAGATATGGTGGTTTTACGCTTTTCCGGTGAGGGGTAGGAACACGGTGGAGGCGACGATTGAATGCTGTGGTGGAACTGGTTGTGGTCGGAATTGGTTCGGGGTTAGGGTGGATGGGAAGCGCCGGTGGTAGCAGAAAAGGAGGATGGATGAATTGGCTATCTGTCGGTGAGGGGAGGCGCACCGTCGACTAGAGAGGAAAGAAAGAGGGAGGTGGATGGCGGATGGCGACCGGCGAAGGATGACGAGGACGGTAGCGCCGACCAGTGGCGAAGACTGGAGGCAATGGCTTGGACGTCGACGGCTGGTCGGGATCGGCGGCGGTAAGGTTTGTGCGTTCGCTGTGTTCGTCGGGAGGGATAAGGGGGGAAAAAGATTTTAGGGTGGAGTCGGATGGGTAAAGGTGGGTCGAGTTATCGGGTGGGGCATGGGTCGGGTCATCGTGTGGTTGGGTCAGATCTGGGTCGGAGCTATAAGGGTGGATGGTTATAAATGGGGCGGTCGCGCAAGTGAAGAGCCATTTGTTCTTGGTCGTGCAAGGATCTACGGGGGTGGTATCAGGTCGCGCAAAGGGCTGTGAGGGTGGAAAGCAAGTCGCGCAGAACCTGTGCGGGTAGGGGAGTAGCCTCGCGTATACATCAGAATGTATCCCATGTGGGGGTAATTTGAGCTTGGATTTGCGCGGCTGGTGTTGGGTCGCGCAACTCTTGCGCGGGTACCCGCGCAATTGCAGATTTTTGACACTTTTTGCAAACTTTACCAAGATCATTGCTAAACTTGAAGATGCTTATTTTTGATCAACTTCAAGCCTAGAAACATCAAAACTTTAAGCGGAGATTATTTATTTACAATGCATTTATTTAACGTCTTTGCCAAGACATAGCCCTGCTTCCGTCAACCTTCGAAAATCGGAGTTTCCAATGTTATGTTGTCGAATTCTCCCGTGTCAAAGCCTTCATAAAATGGTTTCAAGCGGTGCCCGTTCACTTTGAATATTTGATTTGTTTCCAAACTCTGAATTTCAACCGCACCATGATCAAATACTTTTATAACAATAAAATGTCCGTGCCATCGAGATCTCAATTTTCCCGGAAATAGATTCAATCGCGAATGATAAAGAAGAAATTTTTGGCCTAGATTAAAATGCTTTCGAGTGATGTGCTTGTCATGTAACGCTTTTGTCTTGTTTTTGTAGATGCTTTCGAGTGATGTGCTTATCATGTTTAACTTTAAGAAGTCAATTACAGTTTTAGAATCATCATGCCTTGTAGCCTTTGCTTCCACCCATTTTGAGACGTAATCAACCGCCAAGAGTATATAAGTATAACCGAAAGAGATGGGGAATGGGCCCATGAAATCGATTCCCCTTACATCAGAGATCTCACAAATGAGGATAGGGCTTTGAATCATTTCGTGCTTCATGGATACGATTCCCATTCTTTGACATCTATCACAACTCTTGCAAAATAGATAGGTATCTCTTGACATTGTTGGCCAATAGAGCCCACATTCTAGTACCTTTCGCATGGTTTTGTTTTGACCAAAATGTCCTCCGCATGCATACTCATGGCAAAACTTCAAGATTGATTCGACCTCATTTTGGTGAACACACCTCCGTATTAGTTGATCCAAACAGTGCTTCCAAAGATAAGGGTCGTCCCACACGTAGTATTTGGAATCACTCTTCAACTTGGCCTTTTGGTACTTAGTAAATGTGTGTGGAATTTCGTTAGTAACAAAGTAATTGACAATATCCGCATACCATGGAATGGTGTTTGAAATGTAGAAGAGGTGTTCATCCGGAAATTCATCAAGAATGGAAGAAGAGGAGCCACCAATATTCAACCGACTTAAGTGATCCGCAACTAGGTTTTCGGCACCACTTTTTTCCTTTATCTCAAGATTGAACTCTTGTAAAAGAAGAATCCACCGAATTAACAGTGGCTTGGCATCTTTCTTGGTCATTAGATACTTCAAGGCCGCATGGTCGGAGTATACAATAACTTTTGTCTCAATAAGGTATTGCCGAAATTTCTCCAAGGAGAAGACAATAGCTAGAAGTTCCTTCTCGGTGGTGGAATAATTGGCTTGAGCATTATCCAAGGTTTTGGAGGCATAGTAGATGATATGTGATGCTTTGCCCTCCTTTTGACCTAAAACCGCTCCAATGGAAAAATTGCTTGCATCACAAATGATTTCAAACGGAAGCTCCCAATTTGGAGATGGGATAATGGGAGCGGATGTAAGAAAGTCTTTAAGTTTGTCAAAGGATTCTTGACATGCTACATTGAAGTCAAAATCAACAGCTTTTTGGAGAAGGAGGCACATCGGTCTCGTGATCTTCGAGAAATCTTTGATAAATCTCCTATAGAATCCTGCATGGCCCAAGAAAGATCTTACTTCTCTAACACATGTTGGGTAAGGAAAGGTTTGTATGACATAAATTTTGGCTTTATTAACTTCAATTCCCTTTTTGGAGATGATGTGTCCCTAGATGATACCTTGATTGACCATGAAGTCACACTTCTCAAAGTTTAATACCAACTGCTTGTCAATGCATCTTTTCAAAATCTTTTTAAGGTTATCCAAGCATTCATCAAACGAATTGCCATATACTGTGAAGTCATCCATGAACAATTAAATTATATTCTCAACATACTCGGAGAAGATGCTCACCATGCATCGTTTGAATGTGGTGGGGGCATTGCATAATCCAAATGGCATCCATTTGTAGGCAAATGTGCCGAAAGGGCATGTAAAATTCGTCTTGTCTTGATCTTCGGGGGCAATGGGTATTTGATGAAAACCCGAGTATCCATCGAGGCAACAATAATGCGATTTGCCCGTCAATCTTTTGAGCATTTGGTCAATGAAATGAAGGGGAAAATGATATTTTCGTGTGCTTGAATTCAACTTTCTATAATCAATGCACACCCTCCATCCATTTTGAACTCGAGTGGGTACCATTACTCCTTTGTTATTCTCAATAACCATGATTCCTGTTTTCTTGGGAACCACTTGAACCGGACTAACCCATTTGGAGTCGGAAATGGGGTAACTCATGTCCGCATCAAGGAGCTTGATTTATCTATTTCTTGACAACTTCCATCATTGGAGGATTTAGTATTCTTTGAGCTTCCCTCCTAGGCTTACAATCATCTTCCATGAGGATCTTGTGAGTGCATACATTAGGACTAATCCCCTTGATATCCGCTATTGTCCACCCCATGGCCTCTTTGTGATCTTTCAAAACTTCAACCAATTGATTTTCTTCAAAGTCTTTCAATTGGGAGGAGATGATCACCGGAAGAGTTTCGTCATTACCTAGATAAGCATACTTCAAGTGGCTAGGTAAGTATTTTAACTCAAGTGTGGGTGGATGGATTATGGAAGGGGGCATCTTGCTTGGAGAATGCGATAGGGCAACTTGAGACACATCCTTCTTTGTTGAGTTGTTAACTTCTAAAAGTCTTAACAATCTCTTCGACTTCGGAGTCCAATGTATACATATCCAATGTTTTCTTCAAACTTTAACAATCAAGACTCATGTTGAGTACCATCTTCAAAATATCCCCATGTGATAACTCGAATAGTTCTTGGGTGATTGGCTCAATCACATCAAC